TAAATTTGGATATCCTAATCCTTTTCTCTGGAGAGAGAATGAAAGGCACCCAAGCATTGAGGACTCTCCTTCATAGGGTCTCTATGAGTCGCCTGCGACTCAATGGCACTTAACAACAACAATCCTTTTCTAGAAAGATTAAATTTAGGTTTTTGAAAACGAACAATGTCCTGTTTCTTTTTTACTAATCCTTTTGTTGGAATGTAATTCATATTCAACATCATGTTTTTACCTGAGTTGATGTAGAAGGAATTTGTCAAGTAAAGATCTACATTCCTTAGTCCAATGAGATCTTCTTCCACATTTTCTACAAAGCCCTGAAGGTGTGAATCTTTTCTTCTTGTTCTCATTCTCCCCTTTCTCTTTATGGAAATTTTTTTTTCAAATGTCCTAATTTTCCACAATTGTAACATTTGCCTTGAGACAAATTTAAAGTGGTTGTGTGTGTGTGTGTGTGTGTGTGTGTGTGTGTGTGTAAGTGGCTGCTGATATATTGGCTTGAGAAGAACTAGTTCCAATGTCCATACAAGCACGTATATATTCATCAAGGAAGCCTTCTGAACTTTAAATGGTCTGATATGCTTTTGACATTTTGAATTAGCATTTTCATATGCTAAAGTTTTTAACAAAAACTAATAGACCTTGGGTTGAGATATTGCTCGATTAATAACATCCTTTAATCTACATTGAGAGTCAATGTACTTTTCATTTTCAAATTGTGTTGTTCTGTTAAAGGATTGATCTCCCTTTCCTGAAATTTCTACTTTATCCCATGCTTTCACGCAGCAAAGTCTTCCTTGTACAATCACAACATCACCGTATTGCAACTGAGCTTGCACTCCAAGCCCTTGACCTCTACCGAGCAACTGATCAGCAGTACACGAAGAGGAGGATTTCTGGATAAATTTATCATTCCCATAGCTGTAGCTTCATTGGCCTACCAAATTCAAAACTGTAAATATGCCCCAGACTCTAAAACTGTCTTGACCATGGACTCACAATCATAAGGAATGAATCTAAATTCTGTAGCTAATCCTTGTAATATGCCCCTTACATAGGTAGAATTCATACTATGAGAAACTATGGCTTGCTTTAATCCTTTAATAGTCTTATAAGATAGTGACTGATATTGATACAATTGATACTGTTGGGGAAAATCTTGGTTAGGAGGCATATCCTGAATTGCTACTGGAAATACAGTAGCCGCTTTGCCCGAGTTGGAGAAATCATCTTGTTTTGCCTGTTGCAAGGCCATAGACTCAGCTGTTAAAGGCTTCTTAAAAGTAGTTACTCCCAACGGAGCATGATTCATATCATTAAATAACACAGAATCCTTAAATAACTCAGAATTGGAACTGTTGCTGCTGATGGAGCTATATTTTTATTTTGGTAATAGATCTCACTATGAAAACTCAATTTGTCTATTTTACTAGAAAGTTCTAAAACTCATTTACTTAATTTCTCATAAGGACTATCATCCTAGATTGAGTTGTTGTGGATTGCCTTCAAGTCAAGCAAGACTCAGAATGACCCCATAACAAAAGGCCTGAAGCCTCTCTACAACTATAGACATTTATCAAAGTTCATAGTTTCCAGAGGCATGTTATTTAGGAAGTGGATGCCACTCCTGCTTCCAAACCTGTCATAGTATGTTATTGTTGTTATGTTCCATTGAGTCACCTGAAATGTATTGCAACCCTATGTACAGCAGCTCTGAACCCCTCCCTGTCTTGAGTCAGGCTCGCCAGTTCTACCACACCAACTCCCATTACCCCAGTTACTGTATCAATCCATCTTATCTGGGATCTCCCTATCCTGTGCTTTCCATCCACCCTTCCAAGTATGATGTTCTTCTCCAAGGACTGAGCTCTCCTGGCCACATGTCCAAAGTAAGTGAGGCAGAGCTTCAAAATCCTAACCTTTAAGGAAAGACTTGGTTTCACCCTCTCCAAGACAGACCTATTTGTTTTCCTGGCAGTCCATGGTATGTTCAAGACTCTCCTCTAGCACCACAACTCGAAGGCATCTATTCTTCTTCTGTCATCCTTAGTCATTGTCCAGCTCTCTGAAACATAACAGTAACTGAGAAGACCATTGCTCTTCAGCACTCTGGAACCTCAATCTCTTCTCCATCTAATATGGTACTGCCAATTTTCCAGCCTACCCTGCAATGCATCTCTTGTTCCAGATTGTTGGGAAACATAGAATGGCATTATTGACAACTATAATTCCTTCACCACTATTCATGACTTCTTAGGTTAATGATGTTGTTAATTGCCTTCGAGTTGAGCACAAGTCATAGCAACCCTATGAACAAAAGGTCTGAAGCCCCTCTACAACTATCAACATTTCCCAAAGTTCATAGAGATTCCAGAGGCAAGCTATTTAGGAAGTGGATGTCCCTTCTGCTTCCAAACCTGTCATACAATGTTATTGGTTGAGTCACCTGCGATGCATAGTGACCCTATGTACAGCAGCTCTGAATTTCTCTGTCCTGAGCAAGCCTCACTAATTCTGATTAAAAAATTACAGTAAACAAGACAGTGTGAATACTTCCCTGTCCTGAGCTAGTCTCACTAATTCAAACGCAGCAACCCCCATTGTGACAACACCACCACCAACAGCAGAGAGGGGTGGGGAGAGAGAAAGAGAGAGAGAGAGAAAGAGAGAGAGAGAGAGCAGTTGGCCTAGTGGACAGAAAGCCATGCTCCCAAGCCAAAGGTGGGTGACTCTACTCCACGGCTCTCAAGCGTGCCTTTAATTATTTTTGGGGAAACATTCTTCTAGGTCGTGTAACCCTGGTCTGTCCACTTGCTCTACAGAGGTAACTTATGGTTGCTGTGAAGCCAATCACAGTGACACTGATGAGGCAAATGTGGGAATGGTTACTCATAGTAGACAGTGTTTGTTGATGCTCCCCAATTAAAACAAGCTTGGAAGCAGGAGTGGCATCCACTTCCACAATAGTTTGCCTCTGAAAACCCTATGAAACTGGAGAAAGGACGAAAATTATACAGGAAGTGTCCAGGACTTTCATTCATAGGGTCGCTATGAGTCGCCTGCAACTCGACAGCACTTAACAAAAACAACAACAACAATGGAAATAAATATGGATCTCTTCCAGTCAGTTGGCCAAGTGGTTGTCCTCCAGATTTCTTGGCACAACTTGATGAGCACATGCAGGGCAGCATCTGTTTGCTGAAATACATCAGTTGGTATTCCATCAATTCTTGGGGCTTTTTTTGCCAAGTTCTTCAAAGCAGCCTGCATTTCTTCTTTCATCACCATTGCCTCTTGCTCATATGTTGTTTCTTGAAATTCTTCTTTGTCAGCCAATTCTTTTTGGTACAATGATCTGTATACGTCTTCCATCTGCTTTTAATGCTTCTTGAATCATTCAGTACTCTGCCCAGAGCATCCTCAAGCATTTCAACTCATGGCTTGAATTTATTCTTTAGTTCTTTCAGCTTAAAAAATGCTGAGCAGGGGAGCTCTGGTGGCCTAGTGGCGAGAAGCAGCACTGCAATCCCAGAGATATGCCGTTTGAGTCCACCAGATGCTCTGCCGGAGAAGGAGGGGCATTTTCCTTCTGTACCAGTCAGATCTGATTTGACGGTACACACACACACACACAAAAATAATAAAAATTTTAAAAAAATGCCAAGTGAGTTCAACCCTTTTGATTTTCTAACTCCAGCTCCTTGCACATTTCATTATATTTGCCTTGTCTTCCCAAGCAGCCCTTTAAAATCTTCTATTCAGCTCCTTAACTTCTTGATAGTGACCCTATGTACAGCACTTCAGAAGCCTGTCCTGTCCTGAGCCAGTCTCATTAATTCTAACACACCCAAGCCCCATTGCCCCAGTTACTGTATAAATCCGTCTACTTGGATCATATTGTTGTTGTTGTTAAATGTTGCTGAGTCATAGGCAACTCATAGTGACCCTATGAACAAAAAGTCCTCAATGCTTGCGTGACTTTCATCCTTTCTCCAGGTTCATAGGGTTTCTGGCGGCAAGCTGTTTACGGAAGTGGGTGCCACTTCTGCTTCCACGCTTGTTTGAATCGGGGAGCTCCACCCAACACTGTCCTCCATGGGTAACTATTATCACATTTGACACATCAGTGTCACAGTGTTCAGCTTCACAGCAACCACAAGTTACCTCTCTGTGTATGGCAAGTGGGCAGACCAGGGCTATACAACCTAGAAGAATATTTGACCTGAGGGTGTGGATTAAAGTCACCCACCTTTAGCTTGGTAGCGTCACTTTTGGTTCACTAGGCCAACTGGTCTCTCTCTATGTTGTTAAGTGTCACCGAGTCGTAGGCGACTCATAGCAACTCTATGAGCAAAAGTACTCAATGCTTGTGTGACTTTCAAATCTTATGCCTGATGAAATATTTATTTGTAGAATATATAAGTGACTATAAAATGAATAATGTGGAAACCAACAATATAGCTATCACTTCACCATAGGCTATTCATGATACATAAAAACATGAAATAGTGTTCAACATCAGTATTAAGTAGGTAAAAGCCAATTTAAGCCACAATGAGATACCACTGCATCTTTTGAGAAATCTAAAATCGTACAGGCTGATGAGATCCTATGTTGGGGAGGGTGGTGTTTCGGTTCTCTGGTGCTGCTTCACAGAGATACGACGTTGGATGACTTGAACACACAGAAAGATGTTCTCCCACCATTTAGGAGGCCAGCAGTCCAGACTCAGGGCACCAGACCTAGAAGTCCTTCCTTTCTTTTTTTGCCTCTTAGTTCTAGAAGTTTCCCAGTGCAGCAACTGGGATCCAGAAGATGGTTCTCCTCTCCTTTCTCTTCCATCTTGATGGTACTGAGGTCTCCACTTCCTGGCTCATTTAACTTTTTTTGGGGGGGGCGGGTCATTGATAGTGATCACAACTGAGGTAGAACTTTTTGGGGGCTTCACACTACTCAAAGTATGCGTACTGAAATCTCCTCCTGTTCCCATGTGCCAACAGACACCCTTGGTGCAGGAGTTGCACCAGAAATTCTCTGACTGGTGTTTCCAAGTGGTTCACCTGTACCCAGGACAGAAGCACTTGGAGCTGGACTGGAAAGTGGGGCCAATACCTCTAGAGTGAGTGGGCAAGTATTGGATGACAGGAGGGGTCGGGTGGGGGAGGGAAAGGTGTGCTAAGTGTGGGATTAAACTTTCTGACATCCCAAATGGCTCAGTGATGACACTGGAAAAGAAGTCATCAGTCGCTTTGACACGACGCTGGAGACACGTGGACGCTTCTACACGGACAGCAATGGCCGGGAGATCTTGGAGAGGAGGTGGGGACAGGCAAGGACACTCAGACCAGAGAGGGTGGTCAATGGCCTGAGTCTAGAGACCAACCTGCAGGTGTTTTGTCATATATGTGTTGGAGGCAGGACATGGGTGGGAGTAAGGTGACTAGATCACCAACGTTGGCCAACTTCCTCCAATCTCCAGGAGAGATTACAGGCCCACCTGGAACCTCACCCAGACTGATTCGGTGGCGGGAAACTACTATCCAGTCAACAGCCGCATTTATATCACGGTACCCTTGCCATCCCCAGCTTGACCACCCCCTCTGTTCCCCAGATGGGACTTAGTCCTTCATCCTGTGTTCCTCAAGACTGTGTCTATTATATGTTCACTTCTTCTGAGAGAAAGAGAAGGTCTGTAGGAATGCTTCTCAGTCAGACACCTTCATGTTCCAGGATGGGAAGATACAGCTGACAGTGCTAACTGACTGCACCCAGGGGGGCAGCAGCCTTAAGGATGGCTCCCTGGAGCTCATGGTGAGTGGATCGGAGCCTCAGCCACAATCCTCCCCACTCCTAGGCCTTTTCCAGAACCTCCACTTGGACTTAAACTTGTTTCTACTCACATGCCTCCATCCCCATGCGTTTATCCTTGTCTGCTCACGTCGCCCCCGCCTGCCTATCTTCTCTTCCAAGTGAGGTACCAATTCTCACTCTGATCCACTTACTGGACTTTCACCATACGTTTTGGTCCCATTTGTCTGCTCTGTGCGACTCACAGGATATACACTGTGAGCTGAGGTCTCCTCTACAATGAGACTATGTCCATGTGGTTCCATTATCTAGGTCACGCAACATCTATTTCCCACCTAGAGGCGATAAGACTCTTGCTTGTTCCTTAAGTCTGTGCCTTCTCCTTGTCCTGATTCTTTCCTTTGATGTCACTGTTGTTGTTTCACTAGGTGCTGCCAAGTCATCTATAACTCACAGCTACACTATGAACAACAGATCTCAGCCTTACCTTGCCCTACCCCATCCTTACAATCTCTACCATTGTCGTAGTCACTGCGTCAATCTGTCTCATTGAGCGTTTTCTCTTTCACTGGCCTGCTACCTTCCCCAATATGACGTCTTTTTCCAAGGACTAACCCTACCTGCAAATACCATGACCTGTATCAGGCGCACCTTAGTCTCCAGAGAGACACTGTTGCTCCTGAGTATGTTTGAGAGGTCCCTAACGGCAGACTTTCCCATCGCGATACGCTTTTTGATT